CACACACACACACACGCCACACACACGCACACACACAGCACGCACACGCACCGCACGCACACACACGCACACAACGCGCACGCACCCACCACACGCGAACACACGACACGCACACACACACACACACACACACACACGACCCACCCCACCCCACCACACACACACACACACACACACACGCACACACACACACACACACACACACACACACAGGGATATATTATGAGATTGGGTTAAGGCTATGGCTTGTATTACGGGATAGGGTTAGGGTTAAGACTTATATTATGGCATAGGATTAGGGTTATGGTTTGTATTAGGGGATAGGGTTAGGGTTAGGAATAAGGGCATGTGTAGTTAGGGTTAGAGACACGCGTGATATGAGAAACACAGAGCAGTAAGAGTACATTTATGGTCCACACGCGATACGGGCAACATTGGCTTGAAATGGCCGCATGGTTGGACATTGCTATTAGCCTATAGCTTCTAACAAAACAGTAAGTGTAAGCAGTAAGTGTAAGTGTAAGTGTAAGCGCTTAATTCTTCGAATAAGTGTATTTACTTCATCATCATCTCCTGACGTCATGGCATTGAGATCAAACCGTGTGCGTATGCCGCCGCACCGCACGCATACACTCCACCGCATGCACATACACGCCGCCTCAATGCACACATACACTCCACCGCATGCACATACACGCCGCCGCACCGCACACATACACTCCACCGCATGCACATACACGCCGCCTCAATGCACACATACACTCGTAATCACAGAGTACCTGTAATTACAGTGTACTTGTAATTATAGTGTAGTTGTAACTATATTGTACTCGTAGCTATAGTGTGTACGCGTAATCGCAGTGTGTACTTGTAATTATATGACTGATCACACTTACACACACTATCATTATTTATGAGTTTACAAGCGTGAGCATATAGAGCGGCAGCGTGTGCTGCATCTATACGGTGCAGCACACCGGAGCAGTTAGGATGCGTATGATGAGTGGTATATAATAAGAGTGTTTTTAGTAGACAGATGCTCACGGAGGCACGCATAATTTTCTCTTTATTCGTATGCTGCCATGCGTGTTTCTCGATCAGAGTTGCGAGAGGCGGGGATGGCCCGTACTTTGTGTGTGTGTGTGTGTCTGTGTGTGTGTGTGTGTGTGTGCGTGCGTGCGTGCGTGCGTGCGTGCGTGCGTGCGCGCGTGCGCGCGTGTGCGTGCGTGTGTGTGTACTTGTGTGTGTGCGTGCGTGCGTGCGTGCGTGCGTACGTGCGTGCGTGCGTGCGTGTGACTCACGTGTCTACGATCAGATGTGTGGTCGGCGGTGACTTTCTTTGTGATTATGTTGATAGCATATGTTTACGGGCGTGGGCTACTTACACCCCTCCCCCTCCTCCCCCTCCCGTCTCCTCCTACCCTCCTCCTCTCGCTTCCCCTCCTCCCCTCCCGTCTCCTCCTCCCCGCTTCCGTCTCCACTCCCCTCCTCCTCCCCCTCCTCCTCCCCCTCCCGTCTCCCCTCCTCCTCCTCATCCCCTCCTCCTCCTCCCTCCCGTCTCCCCTCCCGTCTCCCATGCTCCTCCTCTTCCCCCTCCCTCCTCCTCCCCCTCCTCCCCCCTCCTCCTCTCGTCTCCCATGCCCCATCGACTGCTAGTGTGAGAACCGCTCCACCGTGTATAGAGACATCGTGTGGAGCTTAACATCGGCTGGTATGCATTACTATGGAAACCTTATCCCAGCCAGTATCACTGCTATCCCTCCTGTCTGACACGGTGGGAAAATCATCTCAGCATCACTGTTATATCCCTGACTAATACTGCCACTACCACACGACTAACACACAGTGGGAACCTAGCATTATATATATATATATATATATATATATATATATAGTATATATATATTTAATGTTATTACCTATAAAAGCCTGAGATATGTTGCGACAAACTATATTCCTTGCGTGTACTAGTCGTGTGACCATGCACACATTGGTAGATAGGGTGTGTGCTTGTGTGTGGGTGTGTGTGTGCGTGTGTGCGCGCGCGTGTGTGTGTGTGTGTGTGTGTGCGGCGTGGTCGGCGTGGCGTGTGCGTGCGTGCGTGTGTGACGAGGGTGGCGTGTGTGTGTGTGTGGTAATAATGCGCTGTCGCAGTCGCCTACTACACATACTTGCCAGTTCTATGAAACGAGTTTCCCAGATGTTTTCCTGAGCGACACATAGCAGATAGATATACACATATATCCTGATATAGGCATAATTTCGCAAATTGTCACGTTCTACATGTAGATTGTCACACGGGTGAGTGCGTTTATTATATGTTTTAACAAGACGGCCCAGAAAGCATCGATTCTGCGTGTGGGATGTAAATACATGTAATAATGCAATGCAACGGACATGGAATTATCGCCCAGGCGCGCAGTTAAATATATGAAATTGTCACTTTTAGGTAGATGTGTAATAAAAGAAGCGGTAGTTCCCCAGCCCGCTGTACTGAACTACTTTCAGCTGTTATTCGTAGGAGTGATGGTTATACGCTATCACACACGCACGCACGCACGCGCGCGCGCGCGCACGCGCACACGCACACACACGCGCGCACATACACACACACGCGCGCGCGCGAACACTTCACGCACGGCACACGCGTGCGCGCGCACACACCACGCACGCACACGCACGAACGCACGCACGCCACACACACACGCGCGCAGCGCACACACACACACACAACACACACACACACACACACACACACACACACACACCCACACACGCGCGCGGCGCGCAATACAGTAACACAGTTTGGCTACAAAACCAAAGTACATTGTTTACGAAAACGGGTGTGTTCCCACAGCAACTCCTCCCCAGCACCCCCGCTTCCACTATACGCTAATCCTTCCACCAATATACTATACTATACTTATACTATACTTATACGTCATACATATACATTACGTATATATACTATACTATACCTATACTATTACGTATTTTACTTATATATACTATACTATACTATACTATACTATTACTATACTATACTATACTATTAGCTAATACTATACCTATAGCTATACTATACTATACTATACTTACTATACGTTTACTATACTATACTATGAACGTATACTATACTATAACGAGAATATACTATAGCTCTACGTATTACTATAGGCGATCATACTATACTATAATAATACTATACGTATACGTATACATATACTATACTATACTATACTATTTACTATACTATACTATCCTATACTATACTATACGTATACGATATACCGATACTAGGTACTTGATAACCTATACTGTATACTATACATACTATGCTATACTATCACTATACTATACTATACTATAACTATACTATACTTACGTATACTATTTACTATACGAATAGACCTCTACTATCACTATACTAGTACTTACTATACTGATACTATACTGATACGTTATACATACTAGCTGATGACTATACTTTACCATGATACGTACTGCAAGAGTAGATAATAAACACAGATATATGTGTTTAATTATGCTACTCTTGTGACTATACTATTACTAGGTACTCATACTATACTATTACTGAGTTGTACGTTATTACTTTACTATACTATACGGGGAGTATAACTAACAAGTTACTATACTATACTATACTATACATATTACTATACTATACTATACTATACTATTTACTATACGTATACTATTACTATACGATAATTACTATACACGGGGTATATACGTATACTATACAACAGGACCGTATACCCCCCATACGATATACCGATCTAACTTATTACGTTGATACATAATACGTATACTATATATACTATACTATACTATTTACTATACATATACATATACTATACGTCATACTCATACTATACTATACGCTATACTATACTATACTATTACTATACTGATACTTTATTACTATACTATACTATACTATACTTATACTATACTATTACTATTATATATTATACCTATACTATACTATACCTATTCACTATACTAATACTATACTTAATACTATACCCTATACTATACTATACTATACTATACTATACTATACTATACTATACTATACTATACTATACTATACTATACTATACTATACTATACTATACTATACTATACTATACTATAACTTATACTATACTATAACACTATAATATCAAGAGCATACAATACCTATTTATGAGTCATTATAAGCTCTTGATAATATATAGAGCATATATTTATTTATATGATATCATATATAGATATAATTTATAAGAGCATACTGGAGTATATACACGTTACTTCGGTCATCTTGAACTGAGAACGACGCGACGTGTCTGTATTCATGTGAGCCACTTCCGGTGCGTGACGTCAGCGCAGGAAGCAGGGGAGTTTGACTGCGCTGTCACCGGAAGCCGGCGACATCCCACGACGCGCCACCGGAAGCTAGCTTAGAGAGAGAGAGAGCGCGGTTTCCGGCACGCGCGCTGTTCTGCATATTGTCTGTTCATTCTTATCGTCTGCTGCGCTACAGGGAGCAGCGCGCGTCGTTCGCAGCAGACGCGTACGCGTGAGCTTGCTGACGTACGGAACATTGTGTGCAACATTCGCTGCATTATTGTTGGACTACTACATCATTGCTGTATCATTGTTGGGCTGCACCACCGCTGGGCTGCACCCTCGTCCGACTGCACCGCTGCCCAGCTGCATCATTGTTGCATTATTGCTGCATCATTGTTGCATCATTGCTGCATCATTGTTGCATCATTGTTGCATCATTGTCATTGGAACATCGTGTCGCCGTGCTCCTCACCTGTTGTTCTCACAACGATGATGACGTCACAGCGACGTTCCGACTAGACAGCGAGCGTGCGTCGCCGACGCGGCTGCACGAAGACAAACACAAACAATAACAATAACAGTAGCAGTAGCAGCAGTAGCAGTAGCAGCAGCACCACCAGCAGCAGTAGCAGCAGGAACAACAACAGCGACAGCAGCAGCAGCAACAACAACAGCAGCAACAGCAGCAGCATCATCATCATCATCGTCATCGACATCAACCTCAACAGCGACAACTGCCTCCGAATCGTCGACCACGAGATCATAACCATGACGACGGCGGCGGCCGTCACCGTCTCCATGGAAACCACAGACATGGCGGCCGAGCTCGCCAACGTCACCGCAGCAACGATGTACGTCTACCCGGCGGCGCTGTCCAACTTCGCCGCTACGATGGCGTGCGCGTTCGTCGTGCTCGGTTGCCTAGGCAACGGGACGACGATCGTGGCGCTGCTGGCGAGCGAGAAGCTGAGGAGTCATGCGACGACGATGTTTGTGATCAGTCTCGCCGTCACCGACTTCATATACTGCGTCTTCAACATGCCGCTGACGGCCTCCAGGTAGCGCTGCGGGCGTCGTAAATAATGAGGTGGGATGCGGCGGGACGTGGGTAGAGAGGTTGTGTGGGGTGGTGTGTAGGGGTGGGGTGATAGTGGGGTTGGGTTCGGGTGGGGTGGTGTGGAGTGTAGGGGTGGGAGTGTGTGGGGTGGTGTGGTTGGGGTGGTGTGGTGTGTAGGGATGGGGTGAGGTGGTGTGGGGGTGGTGTTGGGTGGTGTGGTGTGTAGGGGTGGGGTGAGGTGGGGTGGTGTGGTGTTGGGTGCTGTGGTGTGTAGGGGTGGGGTGAGGTGGGGTGGGGTGGTGTTGGGTGGTGTGGTTGGGGTGGGGTGGTGTGTAGGGGTGGGGTGAGATGGGGGTGGGGGCGGTGTTGGGTTGGGGAGGTGGGTAGAGTTGGGTGGGGGTGGTGTGGAATAATCAGATAACTATATTCCAACTAATACAGTAATCACTTACTGTCCAATTATTTAATTATGTTCTAATTAACAAGGTAACTGCATATTAACTAATCATGTATCTGTACCGTAACACCATAACAAACTAATCAGCCAAATAGGTACTAAACTAATTAAGTTATTGCCGGTAATTCTAGCTTATTATTATAGCTTATTATGTTATTATTATTATTATTATTATTATTATATTATAATTTTATATTCTACCTTATTATTATATTTTAGCTTATTGTAGCCCAGTTCTAGCTTATTATTTGTAACTCCGACCCAATTGAATTGTTAACTGCGTGGAGTACATGTGTATAAGTATTTATGCAGGCCTATTCTCCTGCTCGCACAGGTACATTCACATGGCGTGGGTTCACAGTGATGAGCTCTGCATGATCTTCCCATTCCTCTTCTACGGAAATGTGGCTGTCTCGATCCTGAACCTGCTCACAATCACAATCAACAGGTAGGTGACTGTATATCTCACCTGTAATACAGGTAGGTGTGTGTATATCCCACCTTTAATACAGGTAGGTGGCTGTATATATCACCTGTAATATATAGGTAAGTAAATGTATATTTCACCTTTAATACGGGTAGGTGGCTGTATATCCCACGTATAACATGTAGGTAGGTGGCTGTATATCCCACGTATAACATGTAGGTAGGTGGCTGTATATCCCACGTATAACATGTAGGTAGGTGGCTGTATATCGCACCTATAATATGTAGGTAGGTGGCTGTATATCTCACCTATAATATGTAGGTAGGTGGCTGTATATCGCACCTATAATATGTAGGTAGGTGGCTGTATATCTCACTAGAATTATGTAGCCGTAGGTGGCTGTATATCGCCCTATAATATGCAGGTAGGTGCCCTGTATATCGCAACCTATAACATGTAGGTAGGTGCGCTGTACTATCCCACTATAAACATGTAGCGTATGGTGGCTGTATATCGCCACCTATAATATGTAGGTAGGTGGCTGTATATTCTCACTATAACATGATAGAGGTAGGCTGCGCTGTATTATCCAGTATAACATTGTAGCGTTACGGTGTCTGTATTATCACGTATAACATGTAGGTAGGTGGCCTGTATATCACGTATAACATGTAGGTAGGTGGCTGTATATCGCACCGATATAACATGCAAGTAGCTGTGGCCTCGTATTATCTCACTATAATATGTTAGGTAGGTGGCTGTATACCCACGTATAAACTGTAGGTATGCGTGGCTGTATATTCCCACGTTATAAATGTTAGGTAGGTGGCTGTATATCGCCACCTATAATATGTGGTAGGTGCTGTATAATCTCACCTATAATTGTAGGTAGGTGGCTGTACTAGTCGCACTGCTATATTGCCAGGTAGGCTGGCTGTATATTCGCACCTATTAACATGTAGTAGGTGCTGTATTTATCCACCTCATAAACATGTAGGTAGCGTGGCCTGTATATCGCCCACTATAATATGTAGGTAGGTGGCTGTATATCTCACTAAAATGTAGCAGTAGGTGGCTGTATATCACGCTATAACATGTATGGTTAGGCTGCTCTGTATATTCCCACGCTATAGAACATGGTAGGTGTGAGGTGCGCCTGGGTAGTATATCCCACGCCGTATAACATGTACAGGGGTAGAGTTGGCTGTATATCCCAGCATAACATGTAGGGTACGGTGGCTGTATATCTCACCTGTCATAACAGTGTAGGTAGGGCTGGCGCTGTACGTATTTGCTCACCATGCATCAACATGTAGGTCGCAGGCGTGGCCCTGTAGTATCCTCACTGGACTACACATTTGTAGCGCGTACGGTGCGCGTGCTACCTATCTCCAATTCCTCCTTATATAATCATGTAGGTAGCGTGGGCTGTCTTAGTATCGGCCCTATTAATATTAGCGTACGGTCGGCGTGTATATTCCTCACCTCTAATTATATATTGTAATGTGGGGCGCCGCGCGCTCTGGTGGGGCCGTTTTTTCTCTGGTGGACCTGTATACTCGCTCACCGATAATATGCAGGTAGTGCGCTGTATATCGACCTATAACATGTAGGCCGTAGGTGGCTGTATATCCCACCTATTAACATGTAGGTAGTGTGCGCTGTATATCGACCTATAATATGTAGGTAGGTGGACTGTATATCTCACCTATAACATGCTAGGTATGGTGGCTGTATATCCCACGTATAAACATGTAGGTAGGTGTCTGCTATATCCCACGTATACAGGTAGGTAGTGTGGCCTGTAATATCCCAGTATTAACATGTTAGGGTAGGTGGCTGTATATCCCACGTATAACATGTAGGTAGGTGGCTGTATATATCACCTGTAATATATAGGTAAGTAAATGTATATTTCACCTTTAATACGGGTAGGTGGCTGTATATCCCACCTATAATATGTAGGTAGGTGGCTGTACACATCACCTCTAATACAAGAAAGTGACAGGTGAGTAAATGCTAGCTTATACTGCAGCTGATAACGTGCCCACTAGAATTGTGCAGAAGCATGTATAGGCCTAGCGCTAAAACTATAGCCCTTCGCTCTGCCACAGGTTCTAGCGCTAGCATTATATAGGCCTGCCTGCACAACGCTAGAGTGATATATCCGTCTAAATATACGGTCTATAAGTAACTAGGCGCGTGCGGTGAATTTAGTAATTACCTGTCAAATATCATTAAACTGCGAAGCACACGGCTGCGTTCTCCCTCCACCAAACATCGCCATAGATAGTAAACACACACCCACACACACACACACACACACACACACACACACACACACACACACACACACACACACACACACA